AAATATTTTCTATGTGGAATATGAACATTTAAAGGTAGGCATGATTCTACTAGAAGCTAGTGACTGTGGAATTGACTGACAGATTGTATGTAACAATCTCCTGTTCCATTATGGATCTTGTGTTACAATGGCCTGAACTGATAAAACAGGGAAATACCGTTTCTTTAAAAATATGTATTCTTAAAGGACATGGAAAAAATGCTATATATGTATTACAGCAGTTACAGTTACAGAATACACGTATGGAATATGTACGTGCAGAGTAACGAGCTACAGAAACACCAAGCACCTAAAGAATGAGCAATGCAGGGGATCTATTGGGAAATACATTTGCAAAGCTCTGAGAGACTGTTGTAGTGGTAAGCTGTATATCTCGGGAGAGCAGGAATAAGAACTTGTCCGCTTCTGCAAACTGTGTTTTTTGCTGTAGTTCACCTCAGGAGAGAATGTGAAGAGGTCCTGCTGTGAGCAGGTCGCTGCCGGTCCTGCAGAACCGCAAAGCCCCTGTGGCATGGGACAGCAGTGAAGCCTAGTGTGTCAGCGCTGCTTCTTGTAGCCACTGTCTGTAAAGTCATGCACAGGAGAAGCTTGTAAATAAAAGTAGTGTATGTTATTGTGCTGACTAATGCAGTGGAAAGAAATGGATGAGCTTTTAAGTCTGAAGAAAAGCTAGTATTCTAGAGAGTTTATGCTTTTTTTCAGCTCTACCAGTTAAGGTAGTAAAAGATGTTGCTTCAGCCTACAAAGTTCATCTTACTTGCTTCAAGTATTGAATCAACATGCTGCATGGTAAAGCAGGGGAGAAATGTCTTGGGGGGGGGGAAGAAAAAAGGACTGTGATACGAGGCTCGGTTTTCCTACAGACTTTGGTGGCTACAAGGAGGCTCTATTTCCAGCTGACCCAGGAAGGTGCACAGAGAGCAGCACAGTGCAGTGGTGTCTCTGCAAGAAAAGACTCATGCAGTGAGAAGATAGGAAAAGAGGATAGATTAATTGCTCTGCTTGGCAGGCCTCCCGTGAGGATGTATTCAGCATGGCTACATCTTCCTGGTCATGTTAGATCTCTGGTTTCCTCTCCCATATTAGTTTGCCACTCTTTAGTGAGCACTCTTCTTAATATGTACATTTTTATCAGTCTTTGAGCTAAAGCCAGTGTTTCTCTTGTTTCTCCTTAGCCATCTGATGAAGATACTGTCAGCTTTAATGTTCCAATGTCGGACATTGTGGAAGAAGATCAGATTGTGAAGGAAGATTCAGGTCACCACGCTAACTCAAGAAAAGGTTGGAATGTTTTAAAAAAAAAAAAAAGGTGGAAGTTAAATACAGGGATAATTCCATGTATAAGACTGTAAATTCAGTTTGCAAAAATCACAGCCCAACAAGCATCCAGCTTACAGCAGTCTACACAACTTTACATGAAATCCATTTTATTTACTGCTGTTTTTCTTTGGAATTTCCAGTGTTTAATTTTACACTGGTTAAATGCCTTATTAAATGGATTTTTCTTGCTGATATTCTAGTTGAAGAACAGGTTTTTTCACTACCCTATGCATTTTAATTTTTTTGTAATAAATGCCTGCCTACCCAAAAGGCTTTAAGCATGTATATGCAGTCATGTGAAAAAGGAAAAAAAAGTGTGCTACTCTAGAACATTTTTTAACTATACTGAATTGAAGTCCTTATAGTAATTTTCTGTAGCAATTCTAACAAACTTGTTACACCTTGTCTCTAGAGTTAGTAAGTTCTGGTTCTGACTGGGGGAAGAAAAGTGAGAGTCAGTTTAAACCAGGCTTCCCAACCAGTAAATCAATGTGTAATAACTTATTAAATGTACAAATTAACAATATACAAAAGCAGAGTCAATTTCTGTAGTTGGCCTTAAGTATATAAAACCTTATTAATCAAAGTCAGCGTTACCTCTGGAAACAGATTCCAGAGGTATCAGATTTTGCGAGAAGGTGTAGTTTTATCTAGATTTTGTTAAAATTACCTCTGGAAACAGGTAAATCTCTTCAGATTTTGCAAGAAGGTGTAGTTTTATCTAGATTTTGTTAAAAGTAACATGTTTTTCTAAAATATCTACATACTGAGAAACAATGTTTCTCCAAGGTCTGCATATACTAATGATAAATTGCAGGGTGAAGCTAGTGAGTTGCATATGGAAACTGCATAAATAGGAGATCAGCCTTTCCCTGGTGTTACATACTAGGTTAAATGGACTTCAGTTGCGATACTCATCAGAATTTAGTAGAATGTGAAGTGAGATAGTAAGAGCATTACATCCTACAGTGTTTATTAGCAAACTGGAGAAGGTAAGTTACAGGATCAGACCACTTCAAACAGAAGAGAAAATTATTACTGCCTCATGCCCCTGCGAATAGTGTGTGTGAGCAAGAGATTGGCATAGGCTCTGAAAGCTCTGAATCATTTTGTTTGAGTTCTGCTAGGAGTCTCGAGTGTTTGTTATAGCATAACGAGACTGAAGTTGTGTTAAACTGTGAGTCACTGGCTGAGACATCTGAATGTCTTAAAATACTCTGCAGCTCTGTTCTTGTACTGGTACGGGCAAGACAGACTTGGTGTAGTTCAAAACAGACTCCATCAATGCCTTTTGTGGTGTTTCTGATCTACAACTGTATGAGCCCAGGGTATTGATTTGTTACAACTTGGAAGTGAATTGGCATCGTTCATTAAAATGCAAAGGACTTAACTTGCTTGAAGTTTTTAATGTGCTTCGAATTTAAACTTTGTGTTTGAGCTCTATAATTTAATACACTTAAATTATGTAGAGTAACAAATGTTGAACTGAACCAGAAATCATTCTTCTATCTTTTTTTATTGTTGTTATTAGTGGAATTCCATCAAGGATCTTCTCACTTGATTGTCAATGATAAGTCCAGAGAAAGAGGAAACGAGTTCGATGAATCAGATACACTTACTACTGAATTTATGAGTTACATTAAGGCAAGTTTGTGAAGATTTCAAGTGCGGGGAAATATCTTCGTTACTTTCATAAATATAGAGCAAACAGGAATGACAAACTGCAGACATTTTAATGAATAAGAGACTGCAATTGATACTCATTGTCACAAAAGACATGGAAGGCAAAAATAAACAGGTAGATTTAAAGTGATTATAATTAATCTAGGAGGCCAATTTACCCCTAACTCTCTAGTACATGTGAGAGTTAATCCTTAAACTGTTTAAGGCCTTAAGAAAAGGTGGCAGGTATGTTTTGTACTATTTGCTTTGTATTTTGAATAGAGCAACTTTTGCATTTGTTATGTTAGTAGAATGCAAGAAGACTTTCAGTGTTAGTTGTGATGGCTAAAATTATGAAATAATGTTATGGTATTAAAATACATTTTCTTAAATGTTTAAAAATTATAGTAGAAATTGAGAGATCTATAAAGACAAATCTAAAATAAAATCTATTGTTTTAGGAACCTACCTCTTACAAGATTTGGCCACTTCCTTTCTTAATGGATTTAGGGAGTATACACCGACTCTATGAACTTTGTAGTTTTGCTAGATCCTGTGTAATGCAAAGATATTTGAGAAATAGTAGTATTTTGAAGCATTCCTGTGGACATGATGTCTCCTCTTGATTTATAGGCAAGAAGGGATTATCTAGTATGGATATTTTTAGACTGGTTTTCTCCTTCTGTGAAGATTCTTAAAGGGTGCAAAGAGGCATTGTGTCTCTTCCATCTTCCATCCCTTATAGGAAAAAACGTGCTTGGAAATAACAGTGGGAAGAGAAAGGATGTGGCCTTCAGCTTCTTGGAAACAGACTTCTGGTTGTGCAAAAGAGCTTTTTATTTGAGCAACCTTTTTGTGTTTTTCTACAACAAAACTGTTACAGATCTTCAGCTGGTTGCAGAGTCTCTGAGGTGGTAACCACAGAGGACTAGCATTTAAAAACAAAGTTAAAAAAGAAACCCCAAACTTTTCCCTTCCATAGTCACTGAAGACATGTAGCTATCAGGAAACTTCATTTATATAGTAAATACATGTTGCTTATTATTTTTTTATTATTTACAAATACATATGTGAATTCAGTAGTGTTGATTATTGGGAAGAGTTACTTATAATTGCTGGATGTTTAGGACACTACAAGTTATCTTATATTGGCTTGTTCTTTTGTGACTTCTGTACTAAAAAAAGATTGATGGATATTTTTTAGATAGTTAAGTGTTATGAGTAGTAGTGTTTTAAGGTAGTCAAAATCTTAATAAATGATCATAGATTTCCTGCATACAAATTTTCAGCAAGTGTGCACATTTGAGGTGAATGAACTACGGAAAAGGGGACAGAATACTTCCATCCTCCCCTGACAAAGGGGTACACACCTCTGAAGCTGCCCATACATTATATTATGTATATACTTTGTGTTTGCTTTCCTCCTTCTTCTCACTTCATCATCTTGATTTTCAGTAGTGTACCATTTGAGGACTATTCCCTTGGGAATATCCTCTATTATGATAAGAAAATAGTATCTAAAATGATGTGTTGCAGGCACTGGTTGAGTAAAATATAAGTAGCTGTATCAAATTTCAGTATAAGAATACTGCTAAGTGAGCAGTATTTCTTTTAATTTTGAGATCTTAACATTATGGCAGTTGAGATCAGCAGTTGGTGACTTGAATGGGTAGTACATCCATTTTATTCTGAGGATTTTGAACTTGGGGCATTTTGCTTCTTGTGCGGATTTCTAAGTCTGTTGTCTTTGGTTTATATTAGTCACGTACTCTAGAATCCCTTTTGGGACAGTGGAGGTCTTCTAAAATGGAAATTCTGGTTAACCAAACCATACATAAAATCAGTACAGCTTGCAGTGCAAAAGAGGAGCTTAGCCTTGGAGAATTTTGTAATTTTTCAAATGTTAGCCCTAATTTGTATGGCTTTATTTGTTATCTATATAGTTACGCCCAGAGACTGAGGATCACCTTCTAGAATAAGTGCTGCATTTTTGTCATCTTATAATATGTGCCCCCCTTCTGGGAAAAATCACATACTTCATTCTTGTAAGGAGAAGAAAAAGAAAAAAGGATGGCTTTATTCATTCTACTGGGGATTGGCACTGGGAAATGGGCCATCTTTGGGGAATGTTAGAGAAGCTGGTACACTCTTCAGTGACACATCTGGCAGAGTTGGATAGCATTTATTGGTACAGGGTGATGCGACTGATGTGCCAAACGCATGACTCAAAAGAGGATAAGCATTTCTGTTTTCTGCTATTCATTCTTTACTAGTCCAAATGCACTTCCATTCAGAGAGCCTTTGTCTTTACTGGCAGCTGAACTACTTCAGTGTTCCTGCCTATCTGAGATGAAAGAGAAAACAAAATTTCAAAGCACCAAGTGGAAGCATAAAAGAGAGACTTAAGTTTTCTAATACTTATGGGTAGGACAGTGGGAGCTCTAAGTTATGCCTACATTGAACCCAAAGTATCCGGCTGACCAATATGAATTCTTGCACGCTGTGTTGGTTCTGATTTGTTCTAAAAAAACTTATTCATGGCTGTTAAAATTGTCAAGTAGGAATCCTGTTAATAATTATGGATGAAGTACATAATTGCTACTGTTCACATACGTGGAATTTCCTTCCTCTGTAAACAAATTTGGCTCTGGTAGGAGACCAGGTAAGAGGAGAGTTAGGGTCATGCATAACTGAAGCATGTTTTGCATGCTAGAAAGGCACAAATGAAATCTGGGACATAGAATAAAGAATTCTCATGTTGCTTGACTTTCTTTTTACTATTAAAGGAGGGTAAGGGCTGTTGACCTCAATAAAATCTGAACGGTGAATAGAAGACCTTGTAATCAGTGTCTTAAAAGGGGGTAGAGTGAGGAGTGGAGCAGAAGTGTAGAATTGCTTCAGCTAGCCACCCTAAACTGTTACATAAATTAGGTCAGTGCTGAGTCTGAAAGCAAAATTTATCTGCCTAATTCATTGCAAAGTTCAGTTCTCACTATCAGTTTGTCTGCTTGCAGAGCAGAGCAGCGGAGTGTGATGAATTATTGAGAATAGAAGAGGACGCACAATGGCAAACAGAGGAACTGTAAGTATTTTTTGTGTATCTGTAGGTAATTAGCTGTGTCGTTTAATTAGATTGACCAGCACTGGCAGTTCCTTATCAGTTAATAATTTTGTAGACTTTGAGGCATGACAGAAGCACAGGCTTGCACTTTGTGTGTGCTCAAAGCTTTACACATTATTGCTGAATAGGTTGGATGTTATATTACAACTAATTAATTCGTATGCACCAAAAATGTTGTAATATTTTTTTACCTACGTAGAATGCAAGCTTTTTAATTAAGTATTTTGATATTTGGTCTGTTTGGCATAGGTAAAAAAGGATTTTATCAAAATTTGTGAGCTCTAAATTTAATCTACATTTAAAATTAAATTTAATTGGAAAAAAATCCCTCAGTCTTTTTCCTTCTTTTGTCATAATTTTAAGCAATCATTAATTCATAGACATTAGTTCAAGAGCAGAGCAAGTGAATGTCAGTTGCTGAAGTGAGCATATAAGAAAAGGACATGTAACATGACAGTGTACTGCGAAGTTGTCACTCAGCAGAACAGTGGAGTCTTATATGATTTAAAAACAAAAACTGAAGGAAGGGGAGAATAAGTACTTTCTGAAAGAGCTTTTTTGGAAGGACTAACAGGAGATTATGTTTCTAAACCCCAAAAAGAATTACAACTGTTGAAAAGCAAAAGCATGCTGGTCCGTTAAAAGAAGCATCGTATTTAGCACTTGTGTTAAAACGATACATGTGATGAGTGCAGTTAATTGGAGTCAAATATTGGTAAATTTCAATTTTACAAGTCAGTTTTTAATTGGATGCTAAAAGTTTTAGTTCATCGCATCTGTTTATGTAAGTAGGTATTAGATTGTCGGGCTTTGCTAAGGACAAAGTGCTGGAGAATTTTTTCAGAAGAAACTCGTTCCATAAGTCCAGCACATGCTAGTGTGCACGGAGGCTGGTTTTTCCCCTCTATAGTATTTGCACGCCAGTTGGAAGATACAGCTCACAAACTGAAATTCAGACTACCCTTAATAATTGCTGCTGTTGTACCTCTTTTTTTTTTGAATGCTTTTGTTTTCTGTTATAGAATAAATATGTCAGAAGAACAAACTATTGATATAGCAATGATAGAACAACTAAGAGAAGCAGTAGATTTATTACAGGATCCCAACAGGTATGCTTACAATAGCTGGTGTGTTAATGTATTTAAAGTTTTTGTGAATGACTTGAGTTCTTTTTTAACTGGTAATTGAAAGTTCTCCAGAGTTATAAAGTGTTTTGTTAGCGTACTGATTTGTTTCAGGAGGCTCTTAGATAATTAAGAAGGAAAGTTACATTCTCTCTCTGAGTATCTAGACAAGATTACCAGTAAATTAATTCCCACTAAATTAAGAAGTATTTCAGGTATAGAAGAACCCTAAATTTAGAATTAGACACACGCCTCAACCATTCATCTTGTGTACACTACTGTGATTTTTTCTGAAGTTTTGTCTAGGATTGTCACATTTCCTCTAGGGACTATAAACTCTCCTCTACTTTTCATGCTTAGTGTGTTTTGTGGGAATGGAGAAGGTCGTCTGGCCTGGCTTCATTCCAACTCGCTGGAGCACGTAAAGGAGGTGCCCCAATTAGTGGTGTAGTCTCCCTCTGAAATCAAATGGAGAAAGAGGAAGAGGCAGCTGGATAAGTTACTTAGATTTCTCGTGACTACAGAAGGCAAGGCTTTATAATTTAGGTGCCTATTTTAAGTGATTGCAGTCAGGTGGAATGGCTCTGGATCGGTGACTAAGCAGTGGAGTAAGTATTTAAAAGAAAATAAATGCTTGTCCTACTGAAAAGGACTGACAGGAGTGACATAGGTAGTTCTGTCCAGGTGCTTGCTCTTGCTTTTCTTTGTGTAATCACCTTCAGAAATTAAGTTAATTTCAAAACTCATTTTTTTTTCTGTTACTTCTATGAGGCAGCTGATTTACAGCTTCATTTCTCTGAAGACTAGAAACCTCCTTGTCACTTCCAACCTTAAGTGTCCTTGTTTCTCCTTCCTCCTCTGGCCAGTTCAATGTAGACATTTGTTCTTGCGACTACACTGCGCTTTAGTTTTAAATGCCTATTTTGATACTGCTGTTCTTTCACCTAGCAGACCTTTGTGCTTTTTAGGACAGAAATTCATTCCTGTTAGTATTTCTAGAGAGACAGTTATCTGGCTTTATTTTGAATCATATAAAGAATACTTGAATTCTTGAATCATATACTAAATGCTTGAATCACAAGAATTTTTGCTTAATAAAAAGATCATGCAAATTAGGGAAGGTTTTTGGTTCCCGTGGTTTTTGTGAAATAGTAAACCATTGCTTCTGCACCTCATATGAGGCTTATTACTTTTTGGGAGAAGTGTTGCAATTAAAAAAGGAAAAAGGTTGGTTTGGAAAAAAGCGACGTTAAAAAAATTTCAGTTGTTAGCTTTATAAATTTTGTCATTTTGGGTTTTTTGTTAAATATTGCCCCAATACTTCCTGCATATTTAGTCTTTCTAACTAAATTTAAAAGGGCAATAAAATACAGAAAAATAATCTGGTTTTCCATGTATATTCAGATGTGCTTTCATTAGTAAATTTGAAATGTGGCTTTAAAAATTCTAATCATGTCATGCATGTCTGTATTTTTCTATTATTTTTTTTTTTACGTGGTGTGGGGGGTGTTTGTGGCTGCACATTTTTTTTCTAATGTTAAAATATGAGTATTTATTTCACTGAGAACTATATAGGCTTTTCAATGTATGCCTCCAGTTTAACATCCAGACTTATCCAGCAAAGTACACCTGGGTGCCTAATACTTACCAAATGATGCTGTAGATTTTAAATCCTCTGGGCCATGGATATCTCATAATTTCTTTTATGATTACGGGATTAATGGCAGTTTGTTATATACTTGCATTATATAAAGCAGTAAAGAGAAAATTTTGATCTTCATACTCGATAGTTTTTGTATCTTTATCCAGATCCACAAAGGAATTTAAATGCTTCCATTACTCCTCAGTTTAAGATGCACAAAAGCTTTCATGTGCTTTTAACTTAAACCTAGAGCATGTCAAAAATTAAAACGTTCCCCAGAGAAGTTTCTTTTGTGCAGCGGTATAACTCTAATCACCTAGTCAGGATAACCTAGCTGAAATAACTGACTCTAGCCAGAATTATCCTTATCTCACACTGAAGACCATTTAGGAGTTAGAAAGAGAAACCACTGAAGGGGCTGAAACAGTAGGTGATGCTGACACACCTACCATGCGCTGACTGGAGTTCGGTGTAGAGCATGTCAATTGGAGCTATTTTCGCTAGCAGATATGACTATCAAACTTGTAAAAGGCTTGTCTAGTTGCTGCTGTCCTAGGGTTCTGCAGAGTTCCAAATCTGCATACCCTATGTGCACATAAGCAGCATTTCAGTTCTGGAAAGGGAAAAGATTTTGGGCTCGACCCTTTTCAGTATTTTCAGATGTTTGCTTCAGATTCCTATATTCCCTTTCCTACATTCATTGCTTTCAGATCATTGTCCGTTGTGAATTTATTGTTGCACTGCTTTATTTTCATGCACTGTAAACTAAATTTGAATATATGACCAGGGCTGTGGCTCCTATTTGAACACAGAGTGCTAGAGGTTCGATATAGGAATCTACACTCTCCTAGATAAAGGCATGGTTGTTGGTGGTAAACAGGTGTCTCTTTTGATGCAAGCTGTTGCTCAGGGTGACATTTTGCAGATGAAGGCATTAGCATTGCTTTGACTGAACTGCTGACAGTGAAGCATCAGGAGGCATTTCAAAAAAATTTGTTGAGATAACACTGAGCAGGTTGAAACCATGACTATAAAAGTGTTTCATATATCCATGTTTGAAATTAAATACTGAACAGAATGATTATCAAAACTATACCCCAGTGCAATGTTTTTATTTCAAACCTTGCAGATTAAGCATGGATATTTCAGAGAGCAGTGGTGTGAATCTGTATCCCATGGAACCAGCAACAGCTTTAGAATTTCAGGAGTCTACAGTAAAGTGTGTTTATCTACCTTTTCTAGAAAAAAATAATGCATTTGTTAGATTCATCATATTCAGGTTTCTACACAATGAATTACATATTTGCATTTGTTTATCTTTATACATAGCGGTCAAATGCAGATGGAGATGTCTTCCCTTGGTCAGGTATGTTAATGAGTGTATTATTACAAAATGGCGGAGAGGCGGGAAAGACAGGAAATAAGTCAATAATTTCATTAATTATTAAGCTACCAAGTAGGGAAGGGAAAAATTTAGTAGGCTGGAGGACAAAACTGATTCTTCTTTAGCATTTTTACAGAATTGTTTTTATTTTGTTATATGTGTACATACAGGTTTTTTCTGGGTTTATCAGTTAGTTTTTCATCTTACTTTTTTTTTCCCCGTGTGTAACTTTCCCTGTGTGTGACAGTTCATAGCTCAGCTGTGCACAGTTGTCTACCATCCCACCCACGTCTCCCTGTTCTGGTGTAGGAAAACAGTACATTCATTAAAGATAACCCCAAAATATTTTGTAAACTGAAAATTAGTGCTTTTCCTGAGCACCGTCACTGTAGTTACCAAGATTATATAAAGTATGATTTGGAATTTTACAGTGTGATACATGCTGTATTATTCAATCTGTATCTGTATCTGACTGGGGAACTGGTATTCTTTATGAAGTACTTTGTGTAGATTTACATTATCTACCTGTTATCACTGGCACTGCAAGTATATAGTATCTGTTTGCCTCTCTGTTTGCTTTTCATCAGAGTGTTTTTAAGAAATACTTCTGAGGTTGTGTTGCGCAAAAAAGATACAATTCTGTATCCAGTGATATGCAGTCTAAAGAGTTATTTATCTTACAGAGAGAAAATGCTGAAGAGGAACTAGAATTTCAGAGGAGGAGAGAGTTGATTATGGAGAAAACAAAGCCTGAAGTGACAACTTATGAACAGGGTGAAAAATGGTCGTTGACTCAGGTATGGAGGTGTCTAGATGCAATAAACCTGGAAACATTTGGAATGGATCATTGCATTTGGTCACTTTATATGTTGAGGTAACAGTGGGTTTAGGTCCATTGGGGTTTTTGCCTTCACGTGAATGTCAGGGTTTGGCTGTAAATGGGAAGATGATTAAGACCTATCTCTCGGGGGGGGAAAAAAAAAGAAAGTCTTTTCTTCCAATAAAAGCTGCAGTAGTTGCAGTGGTTGCATTCCCCTGCAAAAAATAAGTAATTTCAAAGTTAGATCTTCAATAAAATGAAACACCTGGTGCCTCTTCCTGCTCACCCCAAATACTCTTGTAGCTTGTAACTCTAGTTATGTAAGCTGCTAAGTTTTTGTTAACAGCAGTAGTTTTGATGTGTTTAATATTACAAATGGACTGTATACAGGTTGAGATGCTAGTTTTAAAGTTCCAACAGTATTTTAAGTTTTGTGTACATTGCAGTGATCCAGAAGTAAAAAACTATGAAAAAAGCTAATTTAAGTATCTGATGCAGATATGATTACTTCAGAACTTGTTTGTATAGGGATTTTTTGACTGCTTTTGCAAGAAGATTCTGAGAACAAAATTACATAACAGTCTGTCTATATTGGTAGTACCTTAATATGATCTGTCTTATCCAGAGATTGAATCTGGTTTATCTTGATGCTTTTCAAATATTCTTGCATATAATCATCATTACCGTCAAATATTCCTATGATATCCTTGTGACTTTGTTACTCTTAATTTTGTCTTTGTTTTTTCTTTAAAATATCAAATTCAAAAAAATTGAGTTGGTTCATCTCTGTTATATTATTGTAAGCTGGAGTTACCACACTTTATTGGGAACAGTTGTTACTACATTGCTGAGATTAACAGATAGGGCTAATTCGGTATCAAAATGTGTCTCTGTGTTTTGATGAACTGTTTAACAAGGACACTGCTGATTCACTTTTAAGAATCTTTTAAAAAGAAGAAATAAATCTTCCTAAGCACTTAGAGAGGACCTGATCTGGGCTGAGTTATGCAGATGAAAGCACTAGGCATGTTCCATAGAATGGAAACACGTCTTGCAAAAGCAAGTTTTTAACCATGCTACACTCTGTGTAGTACAGTAAGCACTCGTGTTACTGAACTAATTCAGTTTAGCATAAATTCAAAATTCTGACTAGCGACCAGCATGCTATGAGAGTCCTGCAACATAGGCATAACTAGCAGGTGTGTCACAAGAACATAGTCCCTGACAACAGGAGTGCACAAGTGTGAGTCCCCAGGGAGAACTGGCTGGGATCAGATAAGTAAGATTTCTTTCTGTTTATTCTAGGTAATACAGTGGTTGAGGTAGTATTATGAAAGATGTCTAAAGCTGAAGAATTTTTTTTTAAGCTTGAAAAGTAGCCAAGAAAGGCCATGAAGCGAAATGGATGTGTAATCTTCCTTTCCATCTTGCTAATTTTTGGAAAGTTCTGTGACTCTTGGAACCAAGTGTTCCAAGTGCTGCCTTTTATTTTTGTTTCAATTCTTTATTGATTAAAAAAAAAAAGACCCCTAAAGAAATTATTTTTAATTGAATTATAATTTGTTTTTTACTTATGCCAAATGTGTTTCTGCTGAGTTATGATTGATGCAGAATTAAGGATTGTATTTCATATTTATTAATGTGATCTACATGTTTCCAATGTAACTGTAGCATAAGTGGTAACAAAAGGTATGTTATATTGCAGTTATAAAATGAACTGCTTACAGAATGCTTCTGTCTCTAAATCTATATTAAAGAAGTCTGCATTTGTATATTAAACTCTTGGTGATAGTTTAATTACAAAATCTGTGGAATAAAATTGGATACTGCATTTGAACCAACAAACATTAAAGAGTTATAAGTGCAGTTATAATCATTTAGAGTTGAAAAGAAATGAATGACAAATCTGCGCGAACAATTTCCACAAGGTTTTTTGAAATGTTGTTCATCTAGCAATAAAAATATTATTATTCATGAAAATTGTTTCACTGAAAAGAAATAATTAAGTATTAATGTGTATGTGAGTATCATGAGCAAAATATCCTGTTGTAGTATATCAGTAATTTTTTTTTTCCTTTCCAAACACACAGAATGATCTAATTGTTTGGAATGCAGGTGGGCAAACCTCTCACAATGAGGTAAGGTGCTAGCGCCATTTATTTTTCTCTTACATGTTGTATGTAAGTGGTTCATATACTAAATGAAACATGTAATTGATATCACTGAAAATATGACTGAGCTCATTAGTAATAGCTATGTGGGTTTTGGCCTGTGGTTTATTCTTGTCATCTTAAGGATTTACTGAGGTATATAAATACACTTTCTGATGAGCTTGAGTTACGTGTTTCAGTATAAAACATTTAAATTTTTTTACATTTTGTTTGTTCTGTCACATTTTCCTTTTTTTTTTTTTAACTCTTCCTTGTTCCACAAGAGTTTCTGTTGACTTAAATGCAATTTCTTTTTGCACACTCGTGCTGTGTCCTTGGTTAGTTTTCAGAGAAGAATTTTATTGATCTGATTTTATTGATCCTATTGCTTTCACAGTGCAAATCTCAGCAGAAGGTCAAAAAGGGAAACTGTAGGGAGCTCCTTATGGAGGTTTTTTCCCTTCACATTTTCTGTGCAGAAATAGGGCTTCTCCCTCCACATTGAACTGTCTATGAGCATCTTGCAAATTCATGAGCACCCAGCCACCTTCTGCCAGTCTTGGTGATGGGACTGCTATAGTTCCTGGCTCCCTGAGGAATCACTTTTTAACTAGGATCCCCACTATGGAGTTTGGTTATAGGACTCTTTCAATGTTACCATTGATCGTATGATGATTACAGCTCACCTTCTCCCGTAGGCTGCCACTCCATTGTTCCTGCTGTTAACTGTTGGTCTAGTTCAGGGTCTGAGGTCTATGCTTAACTTCCTTCTTTTGTGATTTTTTAGGCAGAAATTCACTGTTGCATGGAAAATATCATGCAGAGTGGTAATTAATTCTATGAAAGAAACAAATGTATCTAAGGAAAAAATCATGTCTTTGCTATGTTTTTCTAAATGTGTATTATGCCACAAAAACACGTTTGGTGGAACCAAGTGACTATTTGGGAGAAAACTGAGAAATAATTGAGTTTGTTTATAGCTAGGGGGAATATCTTGCAGTCTTTGGCTGGAAACTCATCTTTTCCAGCAAATGAATAGGACTCAATAAGAAGGGAGATTATCATAGGTTTGAGCCTGTATTGCGTTCAGATTATGGTGGAATAGTTGTAGCGTGCAGTATTGCTAACTTCCGTGTTTTATATAGTCACTTGTGCTGAGATATTCTAGATCATATTTTTACTTAGATTTATGTTCTTGACTTACACAGAACAAGGATAGAAGTCCAACAATGTCTCCTCCTACAAACACCACAATCCCTTTTGGCCTGAAGCCACGATCAGGTAATGTGGGAAAGAAAAGTAACCAATTTGTGTGTACTTTTTTTATGTCTGTGTTTAATAGATGTCTGCATTTTTTTCCCTTAAGAAGGCAGTGATGAAACATTTTCTGTCCAACAGTTAGAAGATTAGAGCATTTTAAGGTTATAGGTTTGAATTAAGATTGAATTTGTAACAAGTATGTATTTGGCACATTATATATGTATCAATTTTCATCGCTTAGAATAAATTAGGTGTTTTATAAAATAATATGTATATATGTTTTAAAAATATGTGTGTATATATATTAATACACATATTTTATACATGTTTACATATATAATCTGTGCTGACATACTAATTGAAATAAGATTTTTGCTTAATTGGTATGTGGCAATACAGTTTAGATTTTGTTGAATAATATATGTGAATAATTAGGCTTGTTTGGAAAATGCTTATGCATTGCTCTGAAAATTGCTCATTGCAATCAGCCTTTCAGTAGTTACGCTTGTGTAAGGATCAAGCATTATAGGAAAATTAGATGTTTACTTCAGCCAGCAGCTGAGTTTAATAAATTTGCAATGCACTAGATTTGCATAACCATCAATCTTTTAACAAGCAGCAGTTTATTTATTAAAAAGAAACACAACTCAACACAAAAAAAATCCCTGTTGATGTATTTGAGGGCTTGGATAACAGCTTCCTTTAGAAATGGGATTAGCTACAGGATTAAATTCAGCTTTTATCTTCTCCGTGCTGAGATAGTTGATGTTGTTAAGTCATCTCACCACCTCTAAAGAATAACCATAGGTTTTTCAGTATGTTTCAGGGTCCTAAGACTAACTCTGGTTTCTTGCATTCACCACAAATGCTTTTAATCAGATGCTGGTAAACCACTACAAGCTTGTAGTTTCCATAACAAAATACCGTGGCAATAATGGCAGCAGTTTCACATTGGAATGTTTAAGAAATTGTACCCATAGATTTGTTTTTCTAAAAAAAAAGTTTTAAAAGGCAAAGAAAATGGTATGGATCCAACCTTGTTTCATGAAGAGGGTATTAAATTTTTCATGTAGTTATGATATACAGTGACAGATCTGTTCAGTTGCATTTCTTAGCTTGTTGATAAACTCTGGCTCTATTCTTCTGTGTTCCTGATGCTTTAGAGATGTTGTTATTTCTCAACAAATTTTTAAAGAATGGGTTAAATGATGAGTAAATGGGTCCTTTCAGGATTTGGAAAAAATAAAACACTGAGTAATATTGCACAGTCCAGTGGCAACACTGTGATAACACCATTAGGAGAAAGACCTGTGAAGGCAAACAGGCCCATGCTGTGTTGCTGCTTTCATGGGATGTAGCCTGTGTTCTGCTGAGCTGCCAGTGAAATCTGCTGCTGGGGACTGAAAGCAGCATTGTGGAAGAGAATGCAGGACTCGGACTTCTTGTTCAAGTGTTAGTTTAATGTGTGCTTCTGAATCTTGGTACAGCAGTGCGCCAAGATGTCCTGTACTTAGTGACTGTAATAGGTCAGGGCAAAGTAGCCTGGCGAATCTTCTTTTTAGATTGCAATGGTTGGAGTCCTTGGCAACAAAACCTCCAGGTCACATGATGGAAGACCAGCTGTGCACGACTCCTGCAGTTCTTCCCCTGACTGCATTGCAGCTGTGTATAGGCTCATTGAATACCAAAATCTGTTATAATATGTTGATTTTCTACACTGTACCAATTCAGATTCATATTTTTTAACTTTGAGTATGCCAATACTATAGTGTCTTTTGGTCACAGCTATGGGTGGCAGAAAACTTGATAATCTGAATTTATTTTCCTTTCTGTATCATACACTACAGAGTCACCAAGCTACAGCCATTACTGCACTATCTTTCACCTCATCACATCCAGTTCAGTCCTGTTACCTTAAATTTATCCTACGGTAAGACAGGTGAATTTGGCAATAGTAAAACCTCAGGACCAACTTAGATAAAAAGACAGTGGCAAATGTAACCTTGCAAAGGAATAGTGAAGCTGCATATTGTTTCCTCTCCTGCTCCCGCACTAGAATTACTCTAAAAGTAGCATCATCATTTGTTTTCCTAACACAATTTAGAGGTAGAAGTAGTACATGACTGAAAATGCTGGCATATTTGTGAATGGTTTTGCCGTTAAAGCTGTTTAGCTTAACATCATGCCTCTAGTTTCTTCAAAGTATTTCCTTTAAAACTTTGTGCAAGTTTTGTGTGAGTTTGAACCATCCTATCACTGTCTGAATTTGTACATGTTAATTATATACTGCTTTATTGCCCTAGAGCTGAGCTAGTCTAGGGATCCAGCAATTCTGTGATCCAGAAAAGTTTTTCAGCTCTGGTTGTTGTTTATTTCAGTAGCTTTTTTTCATTTAAGCTCTTCATGGCCTTAGGGGAAAGCTTAAAACTCTTCTGTAAGTCTTTTAAATCAGAGTGCAAGATTAACAGAACATTAAAGTGTATGTTATGCTCTGTGGAAAAAAGAGGCAAATTTTCAATGAAAATATATTCAACCATACCTTTCTGAAATTTGAGGGTATATTTTCACAGTGTTTATTTTCATCTATTTTAAATGAATGTTGCTTTCTATTTGACACCCACCCTCCCCCACTCCCCATCATTTTATAGTGATTTGTCTCTTGGAAAGGTGAAAGTAAGCTGTTCTAGACTTCTGGTAAGGTTTCCAGTATTTTGAAGTACACACACAAATGGAAGTGCTTCCACAGTGGCTTAAACTTCTGTGTTAGTGCATACTGTGTTAGTACATACTGATACGTGTTCAGGACTGAAGGGCCTTTTATTCTTTCATTTTAAAGCTAGGCAAACTGGAAAAATTCGTATCTAATGGCTGACATGGTACCCGAAGAAAATGTTTTGAAAGGTAATGAATGTGTTTTGACTTCTCAGCAGATTCTTTTCAAGGGTCAGATGTTTAACAGAAGGTAAAAACAGTGAGGATTCTTTAATTTTTCAGAATATTTCCTCCTGTATTTTAAAGACTTTCATAGGATATGGGCTTCTCAAATTTACATTAGTTTTGAAAACCTTAAAAAGTTAATATTGAAAAAACCCAATAATTGAAAGTGTTCTTAGAACCATAGTTTTGCTCTTGGGAAGTGCCTTTCCTCTCTGAAAAGGAAGCACTCAAAATAGTTAATAAATTTAAACTCATTGTGCTTGATTCATGAATTGATTAAAATGTTCGGAGTGATGTTAATTGTCAAAACCGAGTGTTGCATAGTTCTTGCCACAGTATGTGCCAGACCTTGAAGCCAAACATCTAATACATCTTGCGGTACTCAGGATTGTTTGCTTTTGTTTTGTGCCGTCTTTGAGGTCAATGTGTTTCACAACTTCTGCTGAACAAGGTGACAGCAACACAGGCAAACAAACAAACAAAATATTGTACCTTCAGAGACTAAAAGAAGCACCGACAAAACTCAAAATCACCAAGCAGTTTGTATTGTGCAGTGAAAAATTTTTCAATTGCAACTGTTTACTTAGAGTAATCTTAGTTGTGAATCCAATGTCTTCATTTTTGGTAACTTGTGGAAGATTTGAAGCACGATGTTAGTTCCTGTGGACGTGCTTGCCTCGCTGTCTGTCAAGTTTGTTGGAACACATAATGATCATTAGAAGTACCTGCTTTTAGAAGTACCTGCTTTTTGATCTATGCAGTAATTTGAAATTGATTTAGGGTTATGGTTTAGCATTTAGAGTAGAGGTAGTTTATAATCTCCAGTTTAGATTGAGAATCATGAATATTGCTTGTGTGTGGGATTCAGTAGATAAAACATTGAAACATATGTAGGAAACTAAGAAATGAGTGAGTTCATAATTTTTGTGGCAGACGTGGTAAAGAACATTGTGATCAGATACAGGAAAAGGTCATTAAAGAGTGACGTCATTCTGAAGAGTGGAGAAGGAGAGATTTAAATTCTGTGACAGAAAATAGGAAACCAGTGGGAAGCTTTGAAAGGGTGGATGATGTGCTGCAGATAAGCAGGGAGGGGATATTTTGAGGATATCAGTGTCCAGTTCTGAAACACTGTAGAATGGAGTTTTGAGGAAAGTTTGGGTGGAAATCCTTGCCACAATCAAGAGGGGAGACAGAATTGTAGAGTAGATGTGGTAGGGAAGGAATAAAAAAGTCCGCTGAAGGATTTGAGGAACAAATAAGAGGTGCTGTCACAACTAGTTAATGGAGAGAAGGCAGAATGGGTGGAGAGTAGGGACTGTATTGCTGTACAAGGTTAACTCAGTGAGTTGAAGGGTGGTCATGAACTGTAGGCATGCCATGCTTTTACAGTCATCTGGGGAGTAGTCTCCAGAGTCAGCTGCAGCTTCTGTGGAAATGCACAATTTTGCATGCTTTAGGGAGCCCACTTGGCTCATTACTGAGCTTGTGTTTGTTAGAAGGCTGTCTGCAGTGCAGGTGTGCTGAGGCTCGTGCTGCAAACTCAGGATCATCCTTTGGAGGTATTGTATGTCTGTTCTTGTCCCTGGAAAGTCTGTAAAGGTTGCAGAGGACCAGAACTTTCCTAGGGTGGTGGGCCCATTGTAGGTTTGGACTTAGCACAAGGGGAGTCAGCAAGAAACAAAAGTAATGCTGCATGTACTATTAAGTGAATTAAAAGGTAGAAAAATCTGTAGTGCGTGTACATACAGAACATACTTCAACAGAATAAGAAGGGATATTGTAGTTGCTACTTAATCAAAATCAGTTAGGAAGTTGTAATGTAATAATACTTCCATACAGATGTGTAAATGTTCTTTGTCTTTGGGGGAGGAAGTGTCCTTATTACATAGTTACAAAAAATACCAAAATTCTTATTCTCTGAACTTGTCATTACTGAAACTTCACAGCTTATGTATTTACCTTCCGATTCACAGAGTCAAGGTTTTTGTCAGGCTATGATGTAAAATCTATGGGTACTTTTTCTTAAAACTTGGTTGTAAATAAGTTGTGTGAAATGCTATGGTTACAATGATCTTGCTAAGCTTAACAGCCTTATCTGCACATGTAATGTATGACTTGCAAGTACTAACATATAACTTTTCATTCTTTCTATTCTGCACCATCTTTCATTCTTTTCTCAAAAATTACACATTTGGTATTAATCACCTTTAAATTACATCTTTGTCATTACCATGCAATCCTAATGCCATATATGAAATGCTGCTGCCCCCTTTTATCCCCACCTTGGTCCTTATACCACCATGGTTGGACTGGGTATCACTCCTTTCCAGCAGACCCATCCCTCAGTCTTCCTCCTATCTCCTTCAACACACTTACACAGGCACAAACATGGGACAACTTTAGCTACAGTATCCCATCTGAAGGAGACAGTGACAATGGTAGGTGTTCTGTATATAATTTACTTAATTTTGTGTTTTCAGAAACCTAAGTATATGGCAAATGCCCCATGTGGCTAAGGATGAAAGACAATATTCTTGAGGGGATATTTATAAGACTAAATACCTCAGAGGATGAAATGTTAATTTACTGTAGAATGTGTAGTATCAAAAGTAAGTGAAGTGTGTCACTGTTTTCAAGTCTGGCAAAATGACTTCTACCATGATATCCACTCTTAAGAACTATTTCCAGTATAGGTTTATTTACTTGCTTTGTTTTCAAGGGTTTACAGAAGTTGTACTCCAACAGCAATTGATTTTGCTGCTGTCTTTTCGGCTTCTTTTTGTTTGAGAGATACTGACTGTTAATAAAAATATTCTGCTCCCATCTGCAGTTATTGATGCAGGTACATAACATAACTTAATTAGAAGAGGAATCCGTGAAGAAACAAAGCTGAAACAATCAGCTAAGCAAAAATAGTGATTTCTGTCCAACAGGAACTTTTAGTAAGCTATCAAACTTCTCTGTGCATAGTGAAGTCCAGGTACATTAGTGAACTTCATTACTGCTGCTTTTGTTTCGTTTTGTTTTGGTTTTTTCTCCAGGGTGTTATGGTCATAGTACATTGAGTCACGGCACTAATAGGCAAAGTTGGCCATGTTTGGGCTGTCAGGGTCTTACATTGCATAAAGAATTAAATATCAGATGGAAGAGACAGAACCCTTGCTAGTATAGGTGTAGCCTTTGATAAAGAAATGCCATGCATCAATGTAGCATCTTAATACTTCATGTCATCTTTAACTTAACTATCTGCAACAGCTCTGTAATAAAGGAGGCTAAGTCCAGAATTTCTGGGAGGTTATAAGGAGCAGACAGGTCTCCCAAGACCAATGTCCATACCATTGTGGAGGCTTTGGTTTAGCAATGACTCTGTATTTGGGCTGAATAAATCAATCAAAAAGAAATCCAACTATAAACTTTTAGCCTGATTTCATCTCTGTCTGTCGTTAGTCCAGCCTTCTTTTTGTCTGTTATTTTTAGAGTCAGGTTAAATCATTTTGTTGTTCACCTGAGGGATAAAGTTGTCGAATTAAGTACTCGGGTCATTAAGCTCCTCGATGTGCTATAAATAGTGTGCATATGTGTGCTGTAATTCAGAACAAAACTGAAAATTTTCACAAGGAAGTTTGTCCTTGACTTATCATCTATTACCCATTTAACTTGTTGAGATATGTACAAAAAACTTTTTAAAAAAATTATTGGAACAAGCATTACATAATAACCTTGGTTGACCATGGGTTCAAAAAGCACAAACTCGCTCTTGGGAAGAGTGAAAAATAGACCTTCAGGTGTGTGTGAGGTACGGGCTCCCCTTGCTGGAAAACGTGTGTAATGCAGAGAAGCAAGCTATACTCAGGACCGCCAAAACTTCCTGTATTAGAACATTTTTCTTTAAATTCAGTATATAACTGAAATTTTATAACTAATGCTTTTGAGGGTGTGTGGGGTTTGGTTTGGTTTTTTTAATCAATTGAACTTATTTTATTTTATTTAGAAAGTTTTCATTGTAGTTTCCCACTGCCTTGAGATTAGCCTGCCGTTTTCCTCGTGGTGGAATGTAGATCTCATTCATGGATGGAATTGAATAAGTAACGTCGATACTTACTTTTCTTTAACAGATGTTTGTAGTCTGAAATCAGAAGGAAGTGGATGTTAGGACATTCATGTTGACTTAGCAAAGGCCTAAACAAAAACAGCTGTGGCCAAACTGAATGAAGTCCATAACAATACTCTGATTCTTGCAAAATTGAATGTAAATATGAACTAATGCTTTTGCAGGGAATAATTTGAAATGTTGCCGCTGCTGATAAAGCTACTGTGGCATTTAAATACCATTTATATATGGTAGTACTCTCCAAGTATGGTTTTATCTAGGTATTTCATCTGTGAGAGGCAGCAAAACTCAATTATTAGTCTCATACAATGGACTATTTCTAAAATGAAAATCTTAGAAATTGCAGCTACAGTTCTTATAAATGTGATTGGAGATTTTTATTGCACCTCTTAAAAATTTAGGAGCAGTCTCCGATAAATTACAAAGTTGCTAATGCAGAAATTTTAATTCTGGAGTTTAATGGAAGTACTGGATAAGAGTTTCTGCACTTTGAAAATGTGGGAGTTAAGTTGTTGTAGCCATCCTAAACTATATGATTTATTACATAACATTTTAGATATTGCTAGTGGATTAATTTTCACCATATATAAGTGCTTTCATCAGAAGTTTACCAATGTATTGATTAGTTTAAAATTATCCAAATCAGTACATAATGCCTTTCAAATGGCATAGTTAAATCCAGTTTATGGACTGTTATACTTCATAACAACAGTAGTTACAGCTGTTAACAGCCTTTGTATGTTTGGGTGTGTACGGTCATAGTTATATGTATGCCTCTCTACAAAATGTTGAGAAGCACATGTCTGTTGATACACTGTGGTTTGGAAATAGAGTTCTAGTCCAAGCTTGCAGTTTGCCTTCTACAAAGACAAAGGTTAAATGTGAGTACAACTGTGGGCCTATGGCATCTGAAGGCATGGCTCTGCTACTCTCATGTTATGTGTGGGAGGTCAGCATAATGAATGGGTTTTTATGTGACCACCTGTGAGTAGATCCTTCTGAATGGTGATGCTAGTGAAGCTATGTAGTCCGCCTGGAGAGGGGAACTGAGCTGCAGTTGGTATCTGTAGTTCTCAGTCCTGTGTGTTCTCTACAGGATGCTCTCCCACTCTGCCAGTGGGATTTCTGATGATGTTAAAAAGGATAGAATTCACTAACATAAAGCTGTAATATTTAGGCCTTCTATTTAAAAGCAGTTTTGTTTAACAACTAACCTTTAATACAGCATTTCCTGAAGTTACTGATTTAACAGCAGTGCAGCAAATTTCAGATGCCTGTGAAAAGTTAAAACTATGTGTGAGTCAAGTAATGAAAGGAAGCAAGTTTGGTAACTGGCCATAGTTTGTTCTGTCTTGATGCCTCAGATAAGTAGCCTAAGGATATGTAGGGAGCTTGTTGCCTTAAGCTCCTTTTTTAGTAAATAAGGGAAAGAACTATTGCCTGTTAGCTGAACTGCCATAGGTGGTGTCTGTCTGTCCCTGTGGCTAGAGAAGTAGCTTAAATTATTAATTTTGTTACTTAACCAACCTGCATTCAGTTAGGTGAGATTCCTGGTGACCAGACTTGTCTGAGATTTCAGAGTATTTCCCGTGCAGAAACTTTGTCTTGTTTAACTGAGCCCTAGATGTTGGAGGGTACAATTTTGTACATTGACCCTGAACTGATCTGGGAGCTTCATTAACAGTTTACTTTTGGTCAGAATGTAGATGAAACTTCATTCTACCAAGGATTTGGGGTTTTATTTTGTTAGATATTTTGAGGACTGTTTTTTTTTTTAAATTCAGCCTATTACCCAAATCACAACCTAAATAAAATGACTGACATGCCACAATTTTTAATGGAACATCAGAATGACTGTGATTACACCCATGTTTCTTAGTCAAGAGTAATTAATCGTTTCTTACTCCTCTAGTAGGTGCTATTGGCAATTCATACACTTCCAATTTTCTGATGCGTCTTTCGGGAAACAAAAGGCTCCTTTCTACCCTGTTACGTATTGACCCAGAAATTATCTTTTTTTTTTTTTTTTTTTCTTTGATGGCCTTAAATTAACAAAATTGAGCCAGAGCAGTAACTGTATGTTAAAAACCAGTGGTTTCTAGGCTTTATACTTCCACCTCATTAATTGGGACTTAGCGCTTCATATTGCATTCAGGAGAGGGGTGGGAAGGTAGCAATACAAAACACTTTTTAAGCAGTATCATTTTCCATAATAAGCAAGTTGGCCTATAATTTAAGTGGCAAACAGGTGACAGGTGCATTCTGAGTGTACATCATCTTGCTCTTCCAAACCATTCAAAATAATCATTGATCACAAAAAAGGAAGTGTAGAGGTGCGTATATGCGGAGATTTCATGTAATATTTCAAAGAACTATATGTGGGCAGAATGTTACAGTCGACAGGATCGGTGGGAGGGAGTGCTGCGAAGAGTTTGTGCAGTGCTACATTTGCAGTGTGACTTTTCAGTGTAGGCAGACTTACTGAATGGCTAAGTCTGCCTACGTTAGGCTTTGTTTGGTGGGTGGGGTGGTTTGTTATTTTTAGTATAACTTTATCTAGTAAGCAGTTTGTCCTGTGTAGGAAGATGCTTGTCACAGCTTGTTACACAATTCAGCATCTTGTAGGAGATGGTTCTACTTAATAAGTGTTTCCTGCCATGTTAGGTACAAAGTTTTGTACAGATCAGAATCTCTGAGGGACAGTGCCAGTGCTTAATCATCTGACAAAACATGACTGTTGAGGTTAGGATTTGGTTGAAAAATTATCCACTCCATTGATGGTGCAAGATGCAGTGCAGAGCAATATCAAAAAACCCATTTATGGTTGTAATCCAATACGAGATTTTTCTGTCCTCCTGGGTACAGAGAAATTTCCTAACAGGTTTTGCTGGAGGCAGTGTCTAAGGATTTTGCTTCATTTAGAAATTAATAAATCAAAGTGTTCATTTTTAAACTAAAATCTGTCTTTTTTGAAATCCTAGTGTTCTTAAGACCACAAAGAAATTTGGAATCAATAGATCCACAATTTACAATTCGAAGAAAGATGGAGCAGATGAGAGAAGAGAGAGAGCTTGTGGAACAGCTACGTGAGGTATGTGAGTGTTGGCGGAATTAATTTATGCTAATGGAATATATCTTTTAATTTTTCTTTGGGAAAGTTGTCCAGTAGAAGCATATTTAAAAGGTTAAATGAGGCAATATTACTTCTGCAAATCACATTAATGAGACTATTCCTGAAGTGCTTTATCATGATCAGATGTTTGTGCTTCAGGAAAGGTTTTGTAAAAATGGGAAATTATAATGGCATGAATAGTGACCGAATGACATACAGTCACTTGCACTCATGGAATTAACAATTTATTTAATTTCATCAGAAAGGATGAATTGATCACTTGAGAGAGAGAGAGGTGTCTAGAAACTCTTTCCTAACAGCTGGAGAAGTCATCAGTCTAGCAAGTAAAAGGCATAATGAAATCTATTAGTTAAAGCTGAAGTTAGAAACTTTTTTTTAAAGCAGATAACTAATGCTTGAAACAGCTTCCTTAGAAATGAAATAAATACATCATCACTTGAAGATCTGAATATACAAGATGGTTGCCTGATATGTTTTCTTGAACATAGAAGCTAGAGCCTGATTGAAAAATTGCTGCATGTGGTTGCATAGGTTCTGTGTTACACAGCTAGTAGCTAGGTTCGTGTGACAGCTGCTTGTGTTAAAAAAGAAAAAAGGAGAAAAGTGTCGTGAGCCCGAACCTGTCAAGGTTTCCAGTTATGTCATATTACCAACAGAGGTGGTAGAGTTGCCCTCTGAAATGCAGTGCAAATCCTGAAAGTGTGGTAGGTGACTTTGGTATTGCAACCGAATTACAAGGTTATTTGTTCTTATGTCATTAGCTTCATGGAATGACTAATCCCAAAATTATTCCTTTATTTTAAATAACATGTCCTGTATTATTTAATTTTAAAGCATGAGGGTTTGCTTTTTTCCTCTCCTTACCAAATAGTGTTTAAAATGTGGTAGGACTGAGGACTTTAGGATCTTACCTCAGGCCCTCATCTGTTTTAAGTCTGGATTAATCTTACTTTCTCATGCTGAATTTCTAAACAGATTTTGTTGGAGATTCAAAATAACTGATTGAATGTAGTATATTACAAATTCTAACCTTGGATGATGCCAAAAGGGCAAGATGCAGTAATTAGATGAGACAGACTTACTGGTAATGGAGAAGAAAATGGAAGTAGCAGTAATAAACTGCACTAGGATGTATTTTTTCTGAGCGTAGTCTAGTCAGCAGCATCAATGCAGCTTTTTGTATTAATGTTTTTATGTTAAGGGTTACCACAAGTATGTAGCAATTCCCAAGTAATTGTTCCTAAAAATAACTTCCTCAAGGTTCCTGCCTTGTGCCTTAGTCCAGTTAATCCTCACAGTGAAAAGTAGAACAAGATTATTCACTGTATCAGGCATGATCATGGAGACTTAATAAGGATCTCTCTACACTGTATTAGTATTAGGTGTTACCAGTAATAGTGGTTTAATGTGTTATTGACCTTCAGCTCCATGCACTGTCCTTCTTTACCCTCACCCTGAAACATCGTGTCCTGAAATGAAAGTTCTGTTTTCTCTTGTGAGAAGTTTGATTACAAGTCAAGGAGTGGTGACAGAGGCTAGAAGATTCGGGTGTTTGGAAGCACATAGTGAGATTTTTTTTAAATTAATAAAATGTACTCTCGTATACTGGGTCCTTTAGTGAGAGAAGTAACCTCCAGACCATCTTGCTATGTAGGGTACAAGAAAATAGCTCAGAACATGTAAGTAACTAAGTTCATATTTATTGAATAAACTTATCTATTAGTATATTTTGCTTTTGCATTGTTTTCATGGTATATTAGAATGTAATGAGACCTCACAGAACCTGCACCCTTAACCAAGTTGGGCACTAAACAGGAAGGAACAACTTACAGTATTCAGGTCTCTTATTTAGAAATCTGAATGCACAGTTACCTTTAGCTCAGCTGCTTCACCTGAGCCTCCGCATATTGTGAGAACATTGGTATTTCTTCCATACATTCCCCCCTTTTCTTTTGGATGGTATTTTTTTACAGAAATTGTTCCATTTCAGAAAACTTTTTGCTTCAGAAACATACTTATTTTTCCTCCATTTGATTTTGTGTACATCCATGGTCACACTCCAGACAGTTGTCATCTTGAGAGTGATTCACCACTGACACTTGAGCAATTGTTTAACTAGCAAGAAATACTGGCTGATTTTTCTAACTCAAAGTGTAAACATCCAATAGTTTTAACATGCTAAGTGGAACAAATTGTCTGCTGCTGTAGTGTGGATGATTTTTGAAAAAGAGAGCAGTTCTTCAGTGGTGAAAAAATTGAAAGAGAATTGAACCACTTCTTAAAGTCTTCAGTTTTAATTAAATCGAGTCTCAAGCCACGAACTCCATCAGGAAACATTGAACTAGTGTTGTAGGTGCACTGTGCTCATAAAGAAACCAACAATGCACCTTGTACTACATAGTCTTCCAACAGGCAAATTAGTGTTTTAAGAGAAGGATTTTTTTACAAATTCATTAATTTGTATACACCTGTTTGTAACAGATCTGGAAAAAAGTCTCAAAATAATATTCTTTCTGTATGTATATCGTGTACCAAAAATGATTTCTAGTTTATGAATTAATCCAGGGTGAAAACAAAACATTATATTAGTGCATGGGATGCAGTCCCACATTTGGCACTTGAGAGACCATACATGTGAGTACTTTGGTAGTGTGTCTAGTAAAAGAAAAACTGGGAAATTATAATGAAACCCCAGAGTGAGTTCAGTGAAGGCTACTTCATGGTGAGGGCACCCGAAAAAACGATGTATGAGGAAGAAGCTAAGAGCTGGATTTCTTTAACCTGGAGAAGAGAGTGCTGAGAATATTATGTGACTGTCCTCAGCTGCTGGAAGGGTAGTAATAGAGAAGGTAAAGCCAGGCTTTTCAAAGATGCACAGTGAAAGAATGAGAGGCAGTGGCACAGTGGCACAAATTGCAAAGAAATTTTAAGTAGCTGTAAGGAGAAAATTAATTGCGACAAGGGTGCTGAAACACTGAAGAAGGTTGCCTAGAGATGTTGTGGGATCTCCTTCCTTGCCAGATATCCAGAACTTAACTTAACCAAAGCTCTGATCTCACTTCAAATTTGTTAGACCAGGTGACCTTCAGAAATCCCTTCCAACCTACACTCTCCTGTCATTCTAATGAGAATAGTTTATTTTCATCTAAAACGCCCAACATAGATTGAGGTAATGTGTTAATAGAGATATATTAATAGTTATGTGTTAATAGAGAATAATAACAACATTAACGAGGTTCAGCTAGGAATAAGAAATACCTATTTTAAGATAATGGAAGTAAATACTCTGAGAGTTAATCTAAGTCTAGGTATAATGTTGAATGTTTTCAAGATGGGAGCACAATTTAGGAAACTCATAATGTGTAACAATCTTATTGTAGTTATTTGTTTGTTTTGTTTTGTTTTGTTTTTTCCTGGAAAATTCTCAAATATTTTCAAAGTGTTTTATTTTACAGTATCAAATTCATTTCAGTGAGACTTCAGTTTTACTTAGCAAGTGTTCAAAAATCGTCTTTTAAATCTGAATGGTTTGCTTTGCCTTACCTGTCTTTTTGATCACTCTAATGATTCCGAAGTAATTTTTAGGCTGCTAGGGGAAGATTGCCATTTACTGTCTGCTTGTACGGTGTTTAACACAATGTAGTTCTGATTCACAGTGCTGATGATAAACAAAATTTGAGATGGATAAGTAGAAGACTTGGGGGAATGGTGAAATGAATGAGCCACATGTAGTGCAATCGTGGCTAATCGCATGCATATGTTTTTATATGTATATATAAAAATAAATGCATATTACGATAGCAGCATTTGAAGTGTTGAATTCTTTAAAAAAAGTTTTTGTAATTCAGCGACCAACAGAGGGTAGTGGAGGTTGGTTTTTAGTTTTTAAAGCATTATTTACATAAAGGAAGTGTGTTTCTGGGTAAAGCTAAACTCCAAAACTGGGTATGTGTCTACAGCATGGGAGAGGATGAGGATATATATTCCCTTTTTTTTTTCCCGTCATCCATTTCTGTATTCAAGTGTGCCTGTGTTCGTTTGCAGAACATTGAAACAAGACTAAAGATTTGTTTACCTGAAGACTTGGGGTCTGCCCTGATGGATGGTGTAGTTCTCTGCCATTTAGTAAATCACGTTCGTCCTCGGTCTGTAGGAAGCATTCACGTACCTTCACCAGCAGTAGTAAGTTGGATGTTTCTTTTTGCATTGGAATGAGGGGGGAGGAATGTTTTATTGCCAAATGAGATTTGGTTACATAAAACAGGTTGCTGTTCAGTGAATGTGCTTTGCTGTTAGGGACAAAATTTACATTGTTACAAATTCTAATTTCCATTAATTTTTATATATTTTATATATATATATTGTGTGCGTGTATATGTATACATCTATAAGTGAATAAAATTATCCTGCCTCTCTCTGATCTATCAACAGATCAGATTTTTTTCATAGTGGCCTTTTTGTTCCGTACAGTATGGAATTCTATGATTGCAAGAATTTATTCTAAGAGACCTTTTTTAAAAGAAAATTAGCCCCTGGTTTGTTGATTGAAAATATATGAGGTTAGCTTCTGCAGTGTTGTCTTAGCAGATGTCATGTTACTAAAGCACTCACAGCACTTATTAGAATATTTTTCCTACTGAGTTAAATGTAGAAATTATTCATTTTACCTGCAGACAGAACAGAATAGAAACATGTGCTGTAGTGATTTATTACTGGCTTGCCAAACCTAAGGACCTAAATATTTCAGGATGTAAAATCGATGTAATCTCTGTGTGTGCATTTCTTGAAACTTGATTTTCTTAGTGTTTTCTCTGTTTATTGATGTCTTTTTCTTGGACAGATCCTTGTTTCAGATTTCTGATACCAGTCTGGTTCTGAAGAGGTTTTGTGTGTTTTTAGAGCATCTGCCATGTTTGTTTGTTTGAATGCATGCGTTGGTGAAATATTGCCATGTACAGCCTGATACTCAATTCTAAGAATAGCATGTGGATTTTAGAGGCAATCTGTAAGAGCTTCCAAGAAGACAGATGTTAAGAAAAAGACATTTTCTCAGATGATCTAGTGGAGTGTCTTTTGCTGTTGCTCAATTTTAAATTACTTGTGTCTTTGGTGAAAATATGACATTGCCAAAATGTGCAAACTTGATTTTCTGGGGCAAAAACTTCAGTTTTGTTGCTGATTTTTTTGTTTGTATAAGATAAAAATCTTGTGGTGTTTTCTATTACAAAAAGCAAATATTTTAAATCCATTTTCATTTTGTTTCAACTTTATATTGATGATGTTCTCTTGCGTAAAACAGCCTTCAAATTACTTTAGCCTAGAAAATTAGTTTTTTAAAGTCCCTGCTGCTATAGTGAATTCTTGGTTCAAGATATTCAGGAATTACCACTGTTTCAGATCTTGCATTAAAAAGGTAAAATAGTGAGTTGCTTTGGTTTATTTTAATAACATGAGATTTCTGTAAGTATTTGGTGAATAGTCCTGAGTGAGACAAATCATGGAAGTATTTGAAATTCTACAGTAATAGGAAATTTCTTCTTCAGAGGCGTTAAAATTGTGTGAGTACATTAAAATTTTTAGAAGTAAGAGCCTGTTCATTACATTTAAGTCAGTTCTCCATGATGTATGTTGAAACCCTTCATCAATTTACTTGCTGTCCAGAAAAATCAGTGTTGTCTATCACAAATCATAGTAAGAGGCAGGTTTTAGAACCTCACAAGCTGAATGTGAACAAGTAGGGATCTAAATGTGCTGATCACTTTAGTAGCTAAGTAAAAGCATGTGGCATTCACAGCTTACGTACTCAGATTGTATTTGTAGGCATACTGTTCTTAGAGTAGTAGAAAAAAAAAGTTGAGCAGAATTTTATGCTTTGTTTTCTGGAGAAATATGGAGATGGTCCATCAGTACAGGAATAACGCAATAGGTGAATGACTGCATGACTTCTTTTGACGTGAACTATTTTTTATTGTTTTGCAGCCTAAACTTAGCATGGCCAAATGCAGGAGAAACGTGGAAAACTTTCTGGATGCATGTAGAAAGCTGGGGATACCAGAGGTAATTTAAGTCTGTCACTTCTAGATGATTGAAAATGCAAAACACATGAATGAATTTAAAGCTGAAGGGTAACTTCAGTTTTTCAGCACTAAAGACATAAAATTTAAAAAATTTATCTAAATAATGTGATTTAGTAGTACTTTAGTGCATTTAAGTGGCTCGTGATAGAACTTAAAAATAGCAACTTTTGTCTTAAATTAATAATTCAGTATTATCCCCAATACCTCCTTATCTTTGCCATTGAAAATAAATAAGGAATGTGGTAATTAGGTAATATGTAATTAGGAAGAAGTTTGCTGGTTTTTTACCTTATAAGACATTAACTGCATTTTTACCTAGTGCTTTTAGAATATGGACTTAATTCTTTTTAATTACTGATTTTCCCTTTTTTACACTATTAAGTACTCTATGCATTGTAAAAGTGACTAATAACACACTTATCTCTTGTACTGAAACACTTCTACAGTGATATGAAGAAAACATTGTGTGTTAAGTATGGAAAGTATGTGAAAGTAAAGTTCTATAAAGTAGATGTAAGTGTCTCAGAAGTTGGAAATAGGGAAATTGCAGTGCTTGATGTTTTCTGCTTTTCATTTAAGAATGGCACCATTCATCATGTAATTTATTCTCATATTAATAAGGGAAAATATAGCTAATATAATGAGTTCTGTGGTTGCATTGGGAATATTTCAAAGGCTCCCTTATCGTCTAGAAGCACCTATTAAGAAAAAGGTAATTGCAAATACATGACCCTCAAAAGAAGGTAAAAAGTGTTATTCAAGGTCTTTTTAATCTAAAAACATGAAAATTGCATGATACATTGCCTACGTACAACAGTATAATGAAGACTCAGTTCTTTTTAGTCTGTGTTTTAAGAATGCTGAAACAAAAAGATATTTTGTGTGTATCTCCCCCACCACCCCCTTGGGGAGCAGATGGTAATGCAAAGATTTCACATTGGGAAAGAACTCCAGTTCGAATTCTTTATATTTTATCTATATTTTAGTACTTGATTTGGAGGACAGCAAAAGTAACAGATAGTTTTTGCTATTTGTAGGAATTTTGAGGGGGAGGCTTTATCTTTCAGCTCCAGTGAATTGTTCATCATAAATTTAGTTTGAGAATTCAGTATAATGGGCTGGGTCTCTAAGTTGTAATGGTTGATTTAGTTCTTGTAATTATATAATTTATTATGTTAGAATGATTTCATATTAAAGGTAAAATTTCATTTCAAAGAAGATAAAAGTCTCAGTGCTGTGGGCTTGTAGACCTTGAGTGTTTGTGAAGCAGCCCCAAAATTCATTGTCTTCTGATGCACTGTAACTCATTCAGTGAATCAGAATACAAGTCAGGTTTCTCTGGATATAACCTGTTCAGAAAGAAAAGGCCAAGAGCTGTTTTTGTGTTGTCAAGAGATCTTTCAGAAATGGAAATAGAACAGAAATATTTACAAAGATCCTTGCAGTGCCATATTACAGATGGGTAAGCCTTTACTCTGAGGTTTTTTAATTTTGGAATTCTGTAAGTGAGTTTTCTGGAAAAATAGATTTTTCTTTTCTGTAAATAGGCATTTTTTGTATATTTGTTACCTCTTTAATGCTTCCATTGAAAATAGTGTAGAATTTTTTTTAGGATTATTTTATTTTATTAAAGTATGTTTGTTGCAGAGTTGCACAGAACCTTAAGCACAAGGCCAGATCTTACCAATCTGATTTTATAAACTAACAATCCCTAACTTCTCTTGAGGGGAAAAACTCATTCGCTTAAACATTAAAGGAATGGCTTGCAATTGTAAATTTACGATAGGTTTTAAGTACTCTGAGGATACTCTTTTTGATTAGCTGTTGGTAACTTGCAAATGTGTATGTTTGCTATGTATTGTGAAAAACCATTGTGTTGTGGAACTAGCTGGTAGACATAGAACTTTGCTGTGTGTTCCTGGAGGGACATGTATTAGGAATACAAAGTTGTACGATAGCAAGTGTGACAGCCAACTGTCAGAGGTTTTAAAGAACTACAGATGGTGTGTTTTAATGCTGTGTTGTACATTGCCTGTCTCTGGGCAAACCAGTGAAAGGAATGCAGTGAATTATTTCCTTTTTTTTAAAAGAAGCATCTTATGGGAAAGTGGTAGATTCCACTTATGGATCCTAATACCCATAGGCATTGGGCTTTTCTGTGATGTTTATGTCCATGGTTAGTTCCTGAGAATTAACTTGAAATTAACATGGGGCTTTTTTAAGGATTTAAAATGGTCCTAGGTCCTGTTAGCTTGTTTTCAGTTATTTATGGAATGGATTAGAGTGCATACTGTTTCCTGAACTACACAGGTTTAGAGAATTTCAGTACAATGGGTGTCATGTCGAAATCACTTTCTGTTAATGGTCGTACGATGCTCCTGATCCTATGCAGAAGGGATGTTTTAAGCGTATGGTTCTGGCTGTTTAATAAGAAACAAAATAGCAAGGCTCTTACTGCACCAGTAGGCTACGAAAAGTAGGAGAATTGTAGGACAGTCTACCTGTGTCCATAATTTTTGTTTGATGTGAGAAAGAGGTAGTGGCAGGTAAGCATCTGAAAGCTTGAAGATCTGGAAAATGTCTGCTGTGTCCCTCAGGAGGTGTTTGACAGAAAAGGTACAATCTTTGTCACTTAGAAAAGTATCAAAGACTTCATTTTACACCCTTAACTAAAATCTATCAAATTGCCTAATCTCTGTAACAGCGATAGGATGACACACACTCCTGCTTTTTGGCTGATACAGATTTGAATAAGCAAGTGGCAGTAGATGTGTGGTAAGTAGGGGGTGTCTGCCCTACTGCATTTTTCAGAATGACGCGCAGTACTTGAATGGTGCCATTCACTCGAGTAGATTCTTAATGTTGTATGAACCCACTGCTGACACCACCTGTGATGCTTACCCAGTCCACCTATATTGCACCCACCCTCTTACACTTTCTGGGTTTAAAGAATAAAGCTATTTTTTAAAATTTATTTCTCTTTGTGTGTAAGTGTGGCGTCTGAAGTGTTAAAGGTACCAGTTCTAAAGCAGTTTTTTACTCTTCTTAGAGACATCTCATCCCAGAAGTATTAAAAATGATCAAGAGAGTCTGAATTATTTTCACATGAGTATGTATGTAAAGTTATAGCAGTATTTTAGTTTCAACTTTCAGAAAAACAGTAACAGTATATGTAAATAAAGACCAAAATATTCATACACATTTCTTCAACTTGTCAATTGCCACCTTAGAATCAGTATCTATACTAGTAGCAAAGAAGTAGACTTTCCCATTTTAAGCTGCAAATCAATAACTTAATTAAGCTTTAGCTTTCATTCTTGGTAGCTGTTATTCTTTATGATCTGTATTACAGAGCATTTTTTCTTCTGCACTTTCAGCAATTTTAACAAATATTCCTGTCAAAAGGAAAAAATAACTGATTTGTGATGGGCTGAATGACACTTTATTACAAGTGAGATTTAGACCAAAACAAAGCTGTAAATGCAATATGTTATTTGAGAGGCAAAAGATACAACTTTTGGTCTGCGTTTCTTCTAGCTCTCGATTATGAGCAAACATGGCATATCAGAAGTAGGACCTTCCAAGCATTTTGTCAAAAAAGAACTTGAACAAAGTGTTTTCAATGTTTGTGAGCCGAAATGCAGAAGTTATGTTTTTACGAAGACACAAATTAATTTTTATGATCTGCAGCTTACACTAATGTAATATCCTGACAGTTTAGGCACTTGAGCATCTTTTGGCCCTTTATGGGCCTCTTCAGGTCAGATGAATTAGGCAGGGTTGTGGGTTTGTTTTTTTTTTTTAAAAAAAAAAGACACACAGACACACCTTCTCAGTCTTCATATCGCTTGAAAAAACCATAGACTTAAGTTACCATGATTAATACTAGAATGGTAATTTCTGTTGATAAAAGAAAAATGAAATCTTTCACAGGAGGTTATTACAGCAAGTTTATTGAGCTTCTGTGTTCCAGCATGTCAGTAGTGGTGCAGCATTATTTACTGGGACAAGTTATCTCTTGGGTGGGCATGAAGGACTTCTGCCATGTCTCTCAGATTTTCAGTCAGCTACTTGGTGTACACATACTGAACAGAAAGGAGTGTTTGGATGGGTTTTTGGACCTCAAGTCGTCTTATGAAATTCAGATTACAAAAGGCTTAGCTGTGCTGCTTCTTGTGACTTTCGAGTCCTGCAAATGGGAGCTATTATTGCATCTCACCTGCTCTTCTGAAGACTAGATCCACTTTGTTGCAATGTCAGCCAGAATTATTCTAAAAATCAGTATGACTTGTGTTCGTGTAGGAATTGCTAATTAAGTAAAACAGAAAAAAAACAGGAGGCTTTTGTATGCTAAAACTGTCAGAACAAAGTAAAAGAAGCCACCAAGCAGTGTGTCAAGTGTTTGATCCTCTTTCCACCTGTTGTTCAACTGGTAACTATGTTTCTCAGTTTAATGCAAGGTTTATTTTCATTACCATTTATGCTTGTTTTCTGATCAGTTCACGTAATCAGTTACTTCTCCATAGTTTCATCATGAGACATCCATGAAGTTTCAGTAAGTTTTATCAGGTATGACTCCTTTCTCCACCCTTTTGTTCTGGGCTCAGTAACGTACACTGTATGGCTTACGGTATGGAGTTAAGAGGTTCGTTATGCTGACAATTAGAGTGCTGAAAGCATAATTCTGAGGTTCCTTTCATTTGTGTTTTGAGTATAGTGCATATGCAGACTCACTTCTTTAATGCACTTCTGCAAAGTTACTCTTGCCTTTTTTTACCAGGGTCAAAATTTGAGGAGGTTGGTTTTGAAATGCTCTCTGTTTTTGCAGTTGCTGCAGGAGCATGTAGAGTGGGGGTGGTTTGTGCACACAAACAGCTGGTTATGCTTTTGTCATTCCACTTCTGTCTTACTGTGTTTATTCTCTGTGCATGATTTTGGCAGCTGTATGATTTAATCACATAGCTTCACAGGCATAAACAGTCAGTCCATAAATGTAATGATTGAGTGTATGTATCTTTTTAGTTCCTACGAGTAATAATTTCAGTCTCCTAAGTGAGAAGCGTGGTGCTTACGATGGAGGGTGGTTGGTTGGTTGTCTTTGAGGTTTTTGGTGGGGGTCGTGTACTTTTTCACTATTTCATGATGTCACGTTTTAGTTTGATATTTTCATTTCACAGCCTCTGTAAAATTCTGGTAACTTAAGTGGAAATACATTCACCATGACTGAAAAGCTGTATCTTTTTTTTTGTCTAGAGTTACCTTACAGAAGCTTAAAATAAATACAATATAAACTTTTTACTTAATAAGGTGTGAATGTAACATCGAATAATCCACTGTCACAGAACACACAAAAATAAGCAAAAATAATCAGACATTTCTCAGACTTCCCCAGGTTTCACTGAATTTCACTAAAGCACAGCATGTCAGTTCCCATAGGAAGTTTCTTCTGCATGTGTTGGCTGGTTTTGTACGCTTCGGCTTCTCCTGTACACTGCTTAGTATGTTAATCTCTGGTTAGCAAGTTCTTCAGTCTCTGTAAAAACTCAACATATTAGCAGCTCTCATTCTTTAACTCTGAAATTACTTCCTTCTCTGTTTGACTGCGGTAGGGACTGTTGGGGGCGGGGGGGGGGCGGGTTGGAAAAAATTTTTTTTGGAAGTCCTTGTTTTAAAGTTCTGAAAATTTTTTATATAAACTTAAGTTCAATGTATCTTAGGTATTTATTTTGGGGATATATTTGCAACAAGTAGGAGTTGAGCCTAGTATGCTATTTTAAAATTAATCCAGCATTTGCTGGGTTTATTGGTATCTTTGGTATAAGTGCAGTATATCACGTTTGATAGTCGTGAGCAGTTTTGTTTCCCCTAAAACTAGTTTCTCTGGTGAGCAGCTTGTGGATGTAGATGTTCTCAAATACAGTACTAGTCCTATCCCATTTTTAAACAAGATCAGCACGTTTTGTTCTGTCCGTGAGTTTTCATTAGAAAAAGCCAAATACAATTGCATTGAAGTTTTTTATTGCACTAGAATTTTGAGTTGAAAAAAATCTGGAAAATAACTGTAAAAATAGCAGGTTGTTGCTAGGCAGGGTGGTTTCCCCCATCTGTGTATCTGCTGGCTAAAGTAACAAAATGTTGGAGCTTTTAACTTCTCTAAAAGCTGGAACCAGTCATGGTAAGCAAAAAAAAAAAAGGGGGGGGGGGGGAGAAAGGGGAAAAAAAATGTCATTTTTTTCTTTGTGTATGAATGACAGTTCTGACTTCTAGTTTCACTAGTCACTTTTCAGGATAGAATGGCCTTTCAAATATTTTGAAGTTTAATTTATTGCCAGCTAGACCTTGAAACTTTGGACTAACAGAAAACAGGCTTCTGAACTTCCACGTCATTTATTGGGTGTACTGTCAGTTCAATAGGCAAGTGAGACTGAAAAGCTACTAAAGAAAGTGTTCCTCTGAAACAGGGGATCACTTTCTTACTTCCTATAATATTATTCAGTAAGTATTCACCATCTTTTTGATATTAAGGCCTCATTTGCAATGTAAAATGGTGTATCTTGGATTGGGTTTTGAAAGTACTAGTTGTTACTTGGTTTGATTTTAATGTTAAGTATTGTGTGTGCATATTGATATTATTATTACATACTACACTTCATTTTGTATAGCTAGTCTAGAGTAAACTGCTACATGAAGTCATTGGTACTTTCAAAAAAAAGTGTGGGAATCCAACCTGCTAATAACTTTAAATGGTGCCTAAGGAATTTAGTGTCAAATTCTTTGTTTTAGGAAACTTTATTAAATTTATGTAGTGCTACATTGACTTTTTTTGGTTTCCATCCCAGGGTATCATTTAAGGTGGTATTTGAATACCAAGTTTAAGATTATCGTATTAGAGAATTTTGCATACTTCTAACAATTTCTTTAAGTACTTTTTCTTGAAACTTCATATTGCTGCTGCCTGTGGTTTTAACAGCTTTCTAACCCACTGTTTGTGATTATATGTTAGATTTTACAGCTGCTTCCACTTGAGCATTTGAATAAGGCCCAGATGGACAAAGGTGTACAGATCTCATTGGAATAAGTGGATCACATGTACCTCCTCACCCTTGTGAATCTGGGCATAATATTGGAAGGATTTGAAGGCCTGAGCTCTTCTGTCTTAACATTCTGATATTATATGATAGCTGCAGTATTAAGAGGAAATAAAGCTGAGATGTCTAGTGACTAAGGCAATACTAGGAACAAACTATTCCTACATGTTTATGCTAGAATATTGTGATAATTTATTTATCAATATCTTTCTCTTTTTCTATTTTTAATTTTATGCACTGTTTTTTTCTGTTCTAATGGCTGCCCTTCGGGATAGGCTGACCTCTGCTCTCCGTATGACATCCTGCAGTCGGATATTCGTCACATTCGAAAGACTGTTGACACTCTGCTCGCCCTCGGGGAGAAAACCCCACAATCAACTTCTGCCTTTCGCTCCTGGGATCTAATAGGCTTTTGTCTTTTCCACATACTTTTTATAGTCTTGATGTATATAACTTATCACTGGAATGTGCTAACAGCATAACCTGTTCGCATGTGCACACAAACTTTCTGCTTTGTCTCTGACAAATTACAGGTACTTAATTTCCTTCCTTTGTCTTACAAACTTCTCCCTTTCCCTCGCTTCCTTTCCTTGTAATATCTTTATTAATCTCTTGAAATAGGGGAGAGAGGGAGTAGCATCTTGATGGCAAGTCCCATCTTCTCTCCCCTCCAGCTCTAGTTTAAGAACTTATGTACCTCTTTATTTATAGTTTGTTTTCTTGTATATTGCCTAGACTACACACTAAATGTGTTAAAGCAGGGAAGCTACTCTTATACCGCTTTTGGGTGTAGGCTAGATGTGTATCACAAGCTAAACAGAACTGCGCCAAGAATGCTGCTCATACAAAGCAACTGAGGTGGCACTTCAACAGGTGATAGTATCTTCTGAGTTGGTGCCAATGATCTCAACATACATTGTGTTAAGAGCACTTAAAGAACTATCTTTCAAATTACTGTTATTTTTTAATCCTTTAGATTAACAGGAATACTGTAAGTTCAAAGATTGTTGGTCATCTCTACTGTTCGAATTAAATTCCGTACTGGAGTAGTTGTTTTCCTACTTATATTTTGTTTTCCTCCAGATTCCATAGAATAGTCTTTTTCTTCTGTCACACAAAGCAGTGTTGAACTGCTTTTAAACACTTGCTATATTACACCCCAAAGATGACTGTAAATTAGTAGTGGATATGAGCAATCCGTAATATGCAAGGGTCTTGAGAATGTTTCAGGATGAAGATTGTGGAGTACAGTGTGATACAGTAAGATAGTGTGAGAATAAGCTGTTGGATTCCTGTATCTGCCATTCTTATGTGTGACGTCAAGCAAGTCACGTCACTGTCTTGTCTCTGTTTCATCACCTGTGAAAATGCAGGTAATGTTTGTTTGTGTAATGAATGTAACAAAGACAATGTAGCTAGGAAAACAGGTCATTTGGGAAGACTCCAGATTTTCCATCCTGGGAGGTTTTAAAGAATAGGGGAGACAAACATGAGCCAGGAGGTGTTTCAGTGTGTTTGAACTCTGCCTATGGTTAGAGCGCTGGACTGATGACCTCCACTTCCCTTCCAGTTTTGTGTTCTGTTCATCTATTGTAAAACTTGAATAAGACAATTTTTTTGTTGTTGTTTTACTCCTTATCAACGTGAAGTATACAAATTAAAATTGATCGAAAAATATAAAACCTCGAAGATAAACCTATATTGACATTGCAGTGTTGGCCTAGATGGTTGACTAAATTCACAGTTCAGTCGCAGGCTGACTAACCAGAGGACCTCAGTTTCGTGTCTGTGAAATACATACTCATTTCTCACTGCCTAGTGTATAAAAAAATTTACCTGTAGGCTTTTAGAGGATAACTAGCATAAAAACTTGTATGTTACTGATTATTCTGGCCATATGGTTATGATTTAGTGCTACACTATAAATATCCCCATTCCATAGATACTTGTAAAATTTTATTTAAAAACTTCTAAACGCAGTTCTATTCCTGGTTTGCATAGCTCGGATATATACATACATATATAAAAGGGATAAAATGTATAATTATGTAATAATAAAAAATGTAAAATTTTCCGTATTTTAAGATGGAAAAATTAATTTCAGATGCTAGATAAATCAATTTTTTTAAAGGGCTTAGTGTCTAGCTGCCTCCAGTGCATACATATAACAGCTCTATTGTGAAGAGTGTCTTCTGTGACCAGGCATGAGTTAAGTGAGTGTTTCTAGGTTCTTTATACTTGAGGAAAAGGTACTTGTTGTTTGGGTGTGTAGCTGTAAACTTGTGCCCTCATCCTGCACAGGCCTGTCTTTTAATGGTGTGCCTACTTTCAGTGATTCCAGCATCAGACACTTGCTTACTCAGTCTGAGCTTGACATTTAAGCTTCCACTTTCTGCAGATCTTTGTCTTGTTTTAACGATGTTGCTTTTCTAGTGAAACAGAGAAGATGACATAAAGCTTGAATCAGTTCAGAATCTATTAATTGTATGATTCTTTATAATCCAGTGTTGGTATTTGAGACAAAGGATGTCTTCTCTAGGGCTGGGATTTTACTCCTGCTCCCATAAGTGGTCTCCTGTCAATGCTTTGTATTGTGCACTCATTATATAGTACTGATCTACATGTGTGAGTATATTTTAATATTTTTTGAAATTTTAAAACCAGGTGGTGAAAGTTGTTGCTACATTCCAACAGTACGCATCTGTCTCGTTGCCTTAATACTGTGTCTGGTTAGCCACTGTATCCCATAGCTTTGGGAGAGAGGTGGGAGAAGTAGTAGATCAGTGTCTTTTGTGTTTCCAGTGTGCAGAAATAGAAGTTCGTGTCCTCAGTGTTTTTAAGTGTTTATCAGATGAGACACTGGGTTAGAAACTGAACTACTGTTGTGTCGATGTAGACCAGCTCAACGTACCCCAGTCATAATGACACGTAGCTCTCAAACTTGTCCAAAGTTTTAACTTTACATACGCTTACCATGCAAACAGAGTTGTCTTAGTTACTTAGAGAACGTTTTCTCACTGTTCTCAACTATGACAATATACAGTAATTAAAGTGTAACATTATAAGCATTTTCTTGTAGTTAGGGAGTTGAAGCCATCTTGAACCAGGCTGTGAAAAACGAACATTCTCACTTCATGACAAGCACAGCCTTACTACCATACATGAAGCTTCTCAGGTTTTGTATTTTTTGGATTGTTATTGATAACATTTCCAAATATACATATAAATCTTACAGGGAAAGGAATAGTAAAATACACCCTTACATTTCTCTCAGAGTGAATATAGTGATGTTTCTCAAAATACATTTCAAACATAATGCAGATGTGAAAAATACCTGTCTGCCCATCCCTGAAGCCAATAATTCTCCCATTAAATGGGGAAGTGGAAACTAAAACATATATGTAGCTCATAAATCTGCTGTAATGGGCTCTTTGCTAAATTCAGAGTCCTGTTTCTGTGCTGCAGTTCCTTGTGGTTTTAGTACCTGGGAAACCAGTAGTTCAACTTGACTGGTGGTTCTTCACCTTTGAGGAGATCCCAATATTGAGACATTCAGTTACATACAGTTGGTACTTACTGCTCACAGCCAGTCACATGAGTTAAATTTGTGACCTTGGTTTAAAAACAATCTACATTGTAGTTCACCCACATATTCATTGGTAACATGAATTATATTTGTTCCCCCATTTCTTTCCCCATTCAGTTTTTTCCATTGCAATGGTCATCAGAGATTTTCAAACTGTGATTTCTTTGTAAATTGTTTTCCTCCAGTCTGTACCATGCCCATCATATTGACTTCTCTTTTATCCTGTGGAGGTTGTCTCATCCATACGGCAATAAAGTAATAAATACAAATTGTAGTGGATATATGTGCAGGTAAAATGTTTTGCCCTGGATTACAAGTGGCATTTTGATGTGAGGATTTGGCTTTCTTTTTCCTTGAGCCAGTAAACAGATAAGTATTTTCAAGTGTAGGGTAATGCAGTGTAGTAGTCCTTCAAATGCCTCTTGTATATTAACGAGCTCTTACAGCTGAAAGCTGTATATCATCCCATTGTGTTCCAAATAAGTTTTCTGAAAGTTACACTTAATGTGAATGGGGATTGAATTAGAACCTGAGCAAATAGTTCAGTTTTCTACTCCATGTACATTAATAAATTTCCAAATTATTGCCTCGTAATCGTTTTTCAAAGAAAAGCATTCTTAGCATTTTACTCCTGTTACCAAACAATGAGAGCAGTTTTAGAAAAAACAGTAGAGCAGGTTTTGTGAGCTTTTGCCATTTCCTTCATTTCTAGCTTATAAGATGCATTATGCAGAAAGAGCAGTATAAAAATACTTTAAGATAATTACCTATTCTACTTTGATGATACAAAACACTCTCATTCCTTCACTTTGTGTCTCGGAATTTTATGTATAAGGTGATGGTATAATTGCTATTTCCCCTGTAGGTGTACATTTTCTCTTACTGTTTCATGTGTGTCTGTCTTTATTAAGATTTTTGTTCCTTGCAGTTTCAGCTCACTGTTTTCTTAGCATGTTAGGATGAAACTGTGAGGCATTTTGGCAAAATACACAGTGTACTTATAAAATTTTATGGCTTGAGGCCAGAATTTGTGAAAGGGTCCGAAGCCCACCACCTGCAAATACAGTTTTGTAAATATTTGCTATTTATTACATGTTCAGAAGATTCATATATTTAGACATCTAACTGGCTATGACTCCAAATACAGAATTGCAGCTGCAGTATTGAAGGTCTGGGGTTTATTTTTGCTTTGTCAAATTTGGTCATAAGTGTGTACTATACAAAACATAACAATCTTTCCATTGGAAATTAAAAGAAAAATAATTACGAAATATACCTATATACTGTGCTTTTTTTGTCTTCTGTGCTTCAGATGGTAAGTTCAGGGTGTTTGGACATAAAGACACCAACAGTAATAGTGGATAAGGAATATATATATAAAAAGACGTAATTTCAAATTGCCTTGGATGTGTGAAAAAGTAAATATTTGCTATAGTTTTTTCAACTCTTTAGAAAGAAAACTTGGCCTTGACCTAACAAAATGCCAAGCTTTTGTGCATTTGATGTGAGTTTGCTTAAATGTAAGACCCTGATGTTTGTTTTAGTGACTTTCTGTTTCAGGTTAGTTGTCTCCAAACATTAAATGATGGTCGTCACATGGACTTACTTTTTAATTTGTCCTTGGAGAAACTACAAATTCCAGTGTTTCATTTTTTAATGAATATTTTATTTTTCCCCTGTAGATCCGACATCTCATATTCTACAAACACAAGGAAGAAAGGCTCTTACCAAATTGTAGAATTCCATTTCTCTGTATTTTTGCTAACAGATGCATTTGGGCCCTGCTGTTATCATGATGCGGTCATTTCACTACTTGCCCATATGATATAATGGCAACAATTAATTTTGGTAAATACTTGCTATATCTGAACTGCCAAGCTGCGGACCTTAGCGTAA